CCACGTCACTCTCCCAGAGTTAAGAATATTAGTCCACGAGAAAACAATCATGAATCAACCCTCAGGGAGCATCCCGTGTAGGCAGGAAAATTAAGCAGCGGGTAAGAGTGGATGGGGGCCAGCGCTATGGCTCACTAGGCTAATCCTCTGCCTTGTGGTGCCGGCACACCAGGTTCTAGTCCCGGTCGGGGCACCGGATTCTGTCCCGGTTGCCCCTCTTCCAGGCCAGCTTTCTGCTATGGCCCAGGAGTGCAGTAGAGGATGGCCCAAGTGCTTGAGCCCTGCACCCACATGGGAGACCAGGATAAGCACCTGGCTCCTGCCTTCGGATCAGCGCGGTGCGCCGGCTGCAGCCCACCAACCGCAGTGGCCATTGGAGGGTGAACCAATGGCAAAGGAAGACCTTTCTCTCTGTCTCTCTCTCTCACTGTCCACTCTGCCTGTCAAAAAAAAAAAAAAAAAAGAGTTGATGGGTTACTTCACTCACCTTCTCTGCCTTGGCTCAGAGAGAGTCACATTCCAAGTTGCCAAGACGTGAAAGTCCGGGAAAGCTGACATGCTGGATATTATTTTTGAAAATTCAACTCTTTACTTAGTGTAAGGTTGATTTTATGAATATAAAGTAAACTGAAAGTAGATCAACACAACAATTAAGAGAAGGGGTAAGAGAGGAAGGAGGAGGAAGGGTAGGGTGTGGGTGGGAGGGAAAGTGGCGGTGGGAAGTATCCGCATGTTTCTAAATCCGTATATATGAGGGGTGGCGCTGAGGCCTCTGCCTTAAGGTGCCTGCATCCAATACGGCTGCAGGTTCTAGTCCCGGCTGCTGCTCTTCTGATCCAGCTCTCTGCTGTGGTCTGGGAAACACTAGAAGATGGCCCAGGTGCTTGGGCCCCTGCACCTGCATGGGAGACCTGGAAGAACCTCCTGGCTCCTGGCTTCAGATTGGCCCAGCTCCAGCCATTGTAACCATTTGAGGAGTGAATCAACAGATGGAAGACCTTTCTCTCTGTCTGTAACTCTGCCTCTCAAATAAATAAACACAATTTTTAAATAAAAATCTGTATCTATAAAATACAGGAAATATGCTTACCTTAAATAAAAAAAATTAAAATATTTCAACAAAGGAGATATGAAAACCTGTGTGGATGGGGAATCTTCTTGTATCACAATGGGATTTTAAAAAGGGAACAAAAAGGGGCTGGGGCCAGGGCGCAGCGGTTAATGGCCTGGCCGAAGTGCTGACATCCAATATGGGCGCTGGTTCTAGTCCCGGCTGCTCCTCTTCCCATCCAGCTCTCTGCTGTGGCCTGGGAAAGCAGTAGAAGATGGCCCAAGTCCGTGGGCCCCTGTGCCTGAGTGGGAGACCCGGAAGAAACTGGTTCCTGGCTTCGGATCGGCATAGCTCCAGCCCTTGCGGTCAATTGGGGAGTGAACCATCAAATGGAAGACCTCTCTCTCTCTCTCTCTTTCCCTCTCTTTCCCTCTCTCTCCCTCTCTGCCTCTCCTCTCTCTGTGTAACCCTCACTTTCAAATAAATAAATCTTTTTTTAAAAAGTGAACAAAAAGACTCTTAGGCAATGAAACAGGACTGTGTCATTTTGAATATCAGAGGAAAAATATGCCATGTAATAAGGGACAGAAAGGCAGGATGTCTGGCACCAGCGGGAAAATGTTAATGCAGAGTCCCTGCAGATGGAGGGCTCAGGGCTTCTGTATACAAGCGTACTTGGAATAGTTTGCAGACAAATGAATTAAAAGTTTCTTTTTGTGCAAAAAATTCTGAAACCCATATATACAAGGGATGTTACAAAATCCATGAAAAATGTGAATTATTAAAAAAGATGGATTTTGAAAATGCTTGCACCAAAAAACAAAAAACAAAAACAAAAACAAAGGTGTCGCTCCCCCTCTTCGCGGAGGAACGACACTAGTCCCTGTGCTGTTCTTTTGTCTGCTCGGCCCTTCCCGGGTTTGCTGCTGGTTCTTCCCGGGTTGGCTGCCGACCCCTCCACCTCCGTGGAGGGGCGGCTCCCCCTGCCACTTTCCCCACTTCCGCGGGGGAGTGGCACACCGCCGGCCGGCTTTCTCGGGGGCTGCTCAGGTGTTATCCGGATGTTCCTGGTGCATGTTGTCTCTCTCCTGCTTTATAATCCTCTTCCACCAATCCCAACTCTGCTACCCACACGCCGAGCATGCTGCTTTCCTCCAATCAGGAGCAGCTCCTGCAGTTTATTGGCTGAACTGGAGGCAGCTGTGTAGAAGTTGTTTACTCCTCTCCCAGCGCCATATTGTGGGAGAGCAGATGCATAGAATAAGTCTTAATTCCAGTAACTTAGTCTAGTCCGAGTTGCTCCCCACACAAAGGACCTAAATGAAAGATCTCTGTGAGTGAGATCCCAGTAGAAAGAACGGGCCATCAAAGAAGGAGGTACCTTTCTCTGAAGGGAGGAGAGAACTTCCACTTTGACTATGACCTTGTCTAAATAAGATCCAAGTCAGCGAACTTAAAAGGCTCCCATAGCCTTGGCAACTCATGACTAGAGCCTAGGGAGATTACTGACACCATAAACAAGAGTGTCAATTTGTTAAGTCAACAACAGGAGTCACTGTGTACTTACTCCTCATGTGGGATCTGTCCTTAATGTGTTGTCCAATGTGAATTAATGCTATAACTAGTACTGAAACAGTATTTTACACTTTGTGTTTCTGTGTGGGTGCAAACTGATGAAATCTTTACTTAATATACACTAAATTGATCTTCTGAATATAAAGATAATTGAAAATGAATCTTGATGTGAATGGAATGGGAGAGGGAGTGGGAGATGGTAGGGGTGTGGGTGGGAGGGAAGTTATGGGGGGAAAAGCCATTGTAATCCATAAACTGTACTTTGGAAATTTATATTTACTAAATAAAAGTTTATAAAAGAAGAAAAAGGAAATACTTGCACCAAAATAAACTTCATTCAATTGCATTCTCATCATTGTGATATATCCTTGTATAATAGTCAAATATCGGCCATTACTGGGTGGGTCATGGCCATGCAATCAGTCTTCCCAGTTTTGTTGTCTCATGAAGAGCTACATTTTAAACCATTTCTTGGCCGGCACCACGGCTCAATAGGCTAATCATCCACCTGCAGCGCCGGCACACTGGGTTCTAGTCCCAGTCTGGGTGCCGGATTCTTTCCCGGTTGCCCCTCTTCCAGGCCAGCTCTCTGCTGTGGCCAGGGAGTGCAGTGGAGGATGGCCTAAGTGCTTGGGCCCTGCACCCCATGGGAGACCAGGGTAAACACCTGGCTCCTGCCATCGGATCAGCGCGGTGCACCAGCCACAGCGCGCCAGCCGTGGTGGCCATTGGAGGGTGAACCAACGGCAAAGGAAGACCTTTCTGTCTCTCTCTCTCACTATCCACTCTGCCTGTCAAAAAAAAATTTTTTTTCTTCTCTGGCTGTAGCCTCGGCTCACTTGGCTAATCCTCCGCCTATGGCGCTGGCACCCCAGGGTGCCGGATTCTGTCCAGGTTTCTCCTCTTCCAGTCCAGCTCTCTGCTGTGGCCCCGGAGTGCAGTGGAGGATGGCCCAGGTCCTTGGGCCCTGCATCCGCATGGGAGACCAGGAGGAAGCACCTGGCTCCTGGCTTCAGATCAGCGCAGTGCACCAGCCGTAGTGGCCATTTGGGGGGTGAACCAACGGAAGGAAGACCTTTCTCTCTGTCTCTCTGTCTCTCATTGTCTAACTCTGCCTGTCAAAAAAAAAAATTTCTCTGGTTACCTTGACCTGCATGGTCCCACCTTTTCCTCTCTCTGCTCTCATGACTGGTGTGGTCACTGTATATGTCCCCACCCGAGGCCTTTTTGAAAAGCAGACAGAAATGCATTCTGCAAGAGAGATGTCCAGAATTAGGAGTTCCTCACCTCCAGAATTCTGACGAGTAAACACATTCCACACATGGCTTCAGGCAAACCTGTCAGACATTCACAGTCACAATTCCCCACTTGGCTCAGGCACGGCTTCAACCCTGCCATGCTTGCCGTTCAAGGCTGTCCATGGAGGAAGCAACAATCTATGGCTTTAGAGGTTTTTGCCAAAAATCTTGTCCAAGGTGACCTTTCTTTTGTCACAATAAAATGTAACAGCCATCATGTGGTCTTTAATTATATTCTGTCCAGCAGACAGAAGAGCAGAACATCTGGCTTTGTATTTGAATTTTATTTGTAACATTTGCTATGTAACTTTGAGTGAGTTTCCCAAACTTTGAATTGCAAGTTAATACCTACCTTTTAAGACAGGACACACATTTAGTGACATGCTGCCTGTTAAGAACTTAGCTTAATGTCTGCCCTGAACTCCAGCAGTGTTAACCGACATCATTATTTTTATCTGTTATCCTCTCTCCCACCTGGATGGTAAGCACACAGACAGGCTCATACTGTATACTCTCTTATCATCATTACAGTATCAGGAAAAGAATTAATGTGTTGCTGAGGGAGAACATGAAATCAAGTATCTCTATCTTTCAGAGCCTATTGATAAGGTGGTATTCCACCTAGAAGGAAAAACGTTGGTCCCTAAACCAACTCCTCATTTCCATTCTCTATCCCTTGCTTCTTGCCATTCCAGATACCCAGATCCATCTCTCATTCCCTTCCAGCTCCTGTTCTTTCATCTAGAATGGGTTCATCCACCACATAGCCAAACCTGGGTGTGTCACCTTTGGCACACCCTTAACCCTGAAGAACTGAACAGAGCTCTCTGGCCACACCCACCACAAGCCTCTAAAGAATCACCAAAGCAGACAGTCCACTTAACTGGTATAATGAGAAAAGCCAGCACAGCGAGGAAAAAAAAAAAGAAGAAACCAAAGAAACATAAGTTTTTCATATACTTAGAAATATTTAATATGTTTATATTATAATTACTATTAAAACTCAAATTTCACTTAGTAATAAACATGCAATAATTTTATATATTTATAGAGTACAGTGTGATATTTCAGTATATGTATACATGTGTGATAATCAAATCAGAGTAATAGCAATTTCTTTTTCTTATAGTTTCTTTGTATTTGAATACTTCTAGTCTTCTAGTCCTTCTCAAAAATATTATGGGTTATTTTAACTATAGTCACTACCATACAGCAGAACATTATAATTTATTACTTATAACTATCTATATTTTGGTACATGTTATCCAACTTCCCTCTATCTCTAATCCCAACTATGAATCCTAGCCTCTAGTGAATTATATTTATATTGTACTCTCTGCTACTTTGATCTTGGCTTTTCTAGCTTCCACATACAGAGAGAGCATGAGATGTTTGTCTTTCTCTGCCTGGCTTTTTTCAGGTAACATAATGTCCTCTGGTTGCATATATTTTCCCACAAATAACAGCCCTAATTAGCCTTTGTATATCTATGGTATCAGCTGTACTATCTCCTTGTAATATTTTATTTGATTTATTCGGATATTCTATCTTTTCTTGTTTCTTTGTTGGTCTTTGTTGACATTATCTTCACCAAAAAAAACCAGCTCTTTATCTTGTTGATATTTTGTGTTGCTTATTTTAGCCTCTGTTTCATTTATTTCTGCTCTGCTCTTTGTTATTTGTTTCCTTATTAATTTTGGTTTGCTTTGCTCTTGCTTTTCTACTTCCTTGAGTTGCATCATTAAGTTGTTTGTTTGGAATCTTTCTATTTTCAAAAAATTTTCATTTAATTTTATTTTATGTTAAAAGCAGTGAGATGGAATGAAAAAAAGAAAGAGATGGAGAGAGAGAGATTCTATTTGCTGTTTCATGGTTCACTTCCCAAATGACAACAGCCAGCACTTTGCCAGGTCAAAGGCAGAAGCAAAGAACTCAATCAAGCTGTTCCCTGCGAGTGGCAGAGACTCAAGTACTGAAGCAATAATCGGCTGTCTCCCAGACTCTGCATTAGTGGGAAGCCAGATCAGAAGTGGGGGAGTAAAGATTTGAACCAAGCACACCCATATGAGACAGGCATTCCAAGTGACAACTTAACCACTGTGCAACACACCTGTCCCTCTATTTTTTTTGATGTAGGTGCATATCATCATGCAATTCTTTGTTAGTACTGCTAGATTTTGGTTTGTGTTGTCTCTATTTTCATTAGTTAAAAAGCTAGTTGCCATTTACCACCCAGAACTATCAGTGAGTTGAGGGCTGAGTCACCTAAGAGGAGTCAAGCCATCTCCAAAAGACCCCCACTATCTCAATGGGCCCCAAGCCAATGAGCATACAGTATGTGGGACCCCTGTCCAATAGGCACCCACATAGGAAGTCCCAGTGAAAAGACAGTAAAGCCTTAAAAACCCTGCATACCTCAAGAAAACCAGAGTCCTACTCAGGGTACTCAGTCTTGGCTCCTCTCAGTTGAGACACTTTCCCTCTGGCTTTGCAAAATAGAAAAAGTTTTTGCTTCTTTGCAAATTGTTTCCCAACGTCTTATTTCTCTACTAAGCTGAGGAAATAAAACCACCAAATTTGCTCTGGTAACTACTCTCCGCTCCTCGACCAGTAACACATTAACAGGGAGTTGGATCAGAAGTGGTGAAGCCAGGGACTCAAACCAGCACTCCGTTATGAGTTGCCAGTGTTATAAGTGGAAGTTTAACCACAGTCTAAATTTTAATTGGGGAATTTAATCCATTTACATGCAAGATATTTGTTAATACATGAAGACTTCCTCCAGTCATTTTGTTAACTTTTTTGGGGTTATATTGAACACCCTTATTCTTACTTCCTCTCCTGTTTGTTTTTGAGGTTTGGTGCTTTTCTGTATTGATAAGATTTGATTCTTTTCTCTTTTTCTTTTGTTCATATAATTCTCTAATGGAATTTGTACTTTTGCATATTTTTGTGAAGGTTATTATCTTATTTTTGCTTGTAGATGTATGACTTCCTTAAGCATATTTGTAGATTTAGCCTGGTGGTGATGAATTCCTTCGGTTTTTGTGTGTCTTTAAAATATTTTTTAGTTTTGATGTGTATAGTATTTTTGGCTGTTAGTCTTCTGTTTTTCCTTCTGGAACTTTGAATACTTTAACCATTCCCTCGTGGCCTGTAAGTTTCTTCTGAAAAGTATACTCTCAGTCTAATGGGGGGAAGAGATTCCCTTAAATGTGGCTTGGCAATTCTGTTTCCGTTTTTAGCATTCTTTATTTTTGAGCTTTTGATAACTGGCTATGATATATTATGAGAAAGTTTTTTTTTATCAGATCTTTCTGAGTTCCTTGGAAATTCCTGGAGCTATATGTCCATACATGTTTGAAGATTTGAGAAGTTTCCAGCTACTAGTTCACTGAATAGATTATCTGTGCATTTTCCATTTTCTTCTATCTAAGAAGTAACCATAATTTGAAAATGTATTTATGAATGGTGTCCTGCGAATCTCAGAGACAGTCTACATTCTTTTAGACTTTTAAAACCTGACTGGATAGTTTCAGAAGACCTATATTTGAGTTCAGAAATTTCTTCTGCTTGAGCTAGTCTGTTGCTGAGGTTCTCAACTGTTTTTAATTTCATTTACTGAGTTGTTTGACACTATGGTTTTATTTTTATTTTTGGTCTCTTTTTTGGGGGGAATCTCTTTTATTATCTCTAGCTCTTTGCTAAGTTGCTCATTCATATTATAAATTATTTTTCTACTTGTGTTGGTAATCTGTATTCTATTGTATCTTATTGAGTTTCCTTAGAATTATTATTTAGGCTAATTTTCAGCTGGCTTATCAATTTTATTTTCTTTGGGTTTGGTTGCTATGGAGTTATTTTGTTCTTTTGTAGGCATCATTTCACCTTACTTTTTTCATACTTCTGTGTCCCTATGTTGGTATTTGTGCATCCGGTGTATCTGTATTTCCTACTAATTCTGTAAAGTGCTTTTCATAGTAAAATACTTCCTTCTGAAGATGTTTTATGGCGTTCATTTGGTGTGATACATTGGCTCTATTTCAGGTTGGGCATCATACTATAAGGTGTCTTCACTGTAATAAAAGGTTGGGTGTGTGGTAAGCCCAAAGGGGGCAGAGATCCCAATCACCTTCCAGCAGCCCTGTGGGGATGGGGATGATCCAGTAGTCTCAACAGGAGACCATTCCAGTTGACCCTGGCAGGTGCAGTACAGTGCTTATATATGGCATCACACATATGCCTGTGTCTGTCACTCTCCTTTGCACTGAGTAGCAGTGTGACCACTTCAGCATCCTGAGTGTGTGTACGGTAGTCTGTGTGTGTCAGTGACTGCAGGGTGTTACTCATGCTACAGGTGGCACAATGGGTGGGACCTCTCAAGGAGCTCTAGGCAGGTGTAGTACAACTCGCACATCCACGTCTGCAGCAGCTACCATAGCAGCTCAGGAGGCGGCATTGTTCATGCAAGTCCAGGGATGGATGTGGTTCGAGGTGGTGCCAGAGTGGCACTATTCAGCAGTCACTTGGGTAGGGGAGGGTACAATGTCAACTGAATTCCTCCAGAACAGCACAACCCTGTGTGCTTCCTACAATTCCTCGCCCGCTGGGCTGAAGGATCACAAGCACTGTAGGATTCTTCAACAGCAAAATCTTCAGGTGTCCATGGTGTCAATGGGGAACTCCAGTTTACTTTTTCTCCATGGTGTAACAAACTTCTTGTATTCAGACTTTTCTAGACTAGGGTACAGGGATCAATGTAAAGCTCTTCATTCTCTTCTTTACCAGGACATCCGGAGTCTCTGCTTTCTGCAGTTTCTCTGTTTCATCCACAGTGCAATGTCCCTGGATATTTTAGCACAATGGCACTTGCTTGCTCTCTGTCTTTCCTTAGAGATGCATCCGTGCCTCTTTTCAGCCATCTCCAGATTGTCACATCTTTGACCAGTGCAAACCTCAGCAAGTGTTCTAGTGAGTCCTTCAGTCTGATTCTAGTAGTTTTTGATGGATCACTTATTGTACATTATATGAAGGTATCCCAGGTTCATTTTGCACACTTCCTATCCCAAACCTGGAATTGTCCATTTTCTCCAGGAAGTCCTGGTATTTGTTTGTGGCAGATAGTATTTCAGCAACAGAACTGGTGGGCTAAGCATGTTCATTGATGCTGGATTGGGCACTGTTTCTAAAACAATACAATGGGCATAGCAGGGAAAACAAATTTAAAAATAAAATACTCCCAATTCATACTCAATAGTATAAATGTTTTTATTTCACCTCATCTACCTTAAATCTATATCGCCTTTCCCCACACCAAACATCCTGGTTATCAGGGACATTGGGGTAGGGTAATTAAAATAACACATCATTATTTACTTGCTTTCTCCAAAGTGAATACACAACATTTTCCAACTAAGAATACTAATATTAGCACCAAAATATAATCACTGAACATACTTGAAAATCTATTTGGTAAATGCCCTCCCCATTTTTGTATAGAAATTACACCTTCATTGTCGGATAGTGGATGCTACAGTATCTGCTTAGTTGTATTTTTTATAAACAAATGTATATTTAATGATACATCAGCCTTCATGTCACTGTGTTCAGGTTTGATTGCCTGAAGTCTGTTCTATAGATTATTCAGGAAAGACTCATAAGAATAATATCTTGAGTTCTTCTTTGCCAATGATAGCTGATCTATTAACTTTCCAATCAGAAGTGTTTTATTGGGTAAAATATCCTTAGCTTACATGTTATTACCTTCAGGATTTTAGATATTTTCTTATATCCCTTTTATCAAAAGTATGAAAAAATGTGAGTTTCTTTCATTAAAAATGATTGATCATTTTATCTGAAGGCCATTTTTTCATTTAAATTTTGATATATTTTCTGGGAATATCAGGTTTTTTTGTTTCAATATTGTAATATTTTATCACATTTTTTAAAGATTTATTTATTTTACTTGAAAGTCAGAGTTACACAGAGAGAGGAGAGGCAGAGAGAGAGAGAGAGAGAGAGAGAGAGAGTTCTTTCATCTGACGGTTCACTCCTGAATTGGCCGCAATGGTCGGAACTATGCTGATCCAAAGCCAGGAGCCAGGAGCTTCTCCTGAGTCTTCCACGTGGGTGCAGGGGCCCAAGGACTTTGGCCATCTTCTACTACTATCCCAGGCCATAGCAGAGAGCTGTATGGGAAGAGGAGCAGCCGGGACTTGAACCGGCACCCATATGGGATGCCAGAGCTTCAGACCAGGGTGTTAATCCACTGCACCACAGCACCAGCCCCTTATCAGATTATTCTTATATTTAATCTCAAATAATTTTTATATTTCAAGAAAGTGTTTTTAAGGTATAGTCTTCATTTTTATTCTGAGCTCTTACTTATATTCTACATTTCCCCAATTTGTGACTTCCTATTATATATAATTTTTGTTATTATCCTGTCTCCTGTGTTTGTCAAACTTTTGCATTTACTTTTCAGCACTTCATTTTGAATTCTAAATCTTTTTTTCCTTTTTGTCTTATGTTTTCAAAAATACTGTCTATTGTGTTCAATTCTTTTTATGCTCCCTCTATTTTATATATGATTCCTCAAATAACTTATCTTTCTGTTATTCCTAGTTATTTTCTGATTTATAGCACCATACTATAGGTCATTTTTTAAAATTTATTTGACATGTAGAGTTATAGACAGTGAGAGAGAGAGAGAGAGAGAGATCTTCCGTCAGTTGCTTCCCTCCCCAAATGGCCGGAAGGGCCAGAGCTGCTCCGATCTGAAGCCAGGAGCCAGGTGCTTCTCCTGGTCTCCCATGCGGGGGCAGGGGCCCAAGCACTTGGGCCATCCTCCACTGCACTCCCGGGGCACAGCAGAGAGCTGGACCAGAAGACGAGCAACCGGGACTAGAATCAGATCAGCGCCCAGATGAAGGATTAACCAAGTGAGCCACGGTGCTGGCCCCACTCTAGGTCATTTGTAATTCCAATAGTTTTTTCTTCTATATTATATATAATTTTAATGTATTTTAGTATTTTCAAGTATTAGTTTATAGCTTTTATCTTTTTGAGCCATGTCATTCCAACAATTTAAATTTTTCAATAGATGCTATATTTTGACGTGATTCGCTTTATTTTTAAAATTTTTTATGTAAGTTGACTTCCATCTATTCCTGTTGCTTAACTCTTTGTAAAATCATTTTCCTCAACCTTTCAGAAAGATAGACGCATGGCCTAGTAAATCCTGTGCTACTGTAACTGAATGCCTGGGAGTGGCGTGGTCATGGGTCTGGAGACTGAGAAGCCCAGTACTGAGGGGCTGCTCAGATGAAGGCTTCCTCTGTGGCACGCACGGCAGAAGGTACAACATGGTAAGAGGGAGCAAGAGAGGGATGAACTCATTTTTATAACAAACCTCTTCCCAAGTAATGTCTTCAACCCATTCATGAGAGCACAGTCCTCACAATCTCTCTACTTCTTAAAGGTCCCACATCTCACCTTTGTTGTCTTCAGGGATTATGCTCCTAATTTATGAAGTTTGGGGGACACATTAAATCTACAGTGACGCAGTTTATAACATTCTTTCAACATTATATTCCATGTGGCCAGTGCTGTGTCATAGTAGGCTAAGCCTCTTCCTTTGGTGCCAGCATCCTATATGGGTACCATTTTGTGTCCTGGCTGCTCCTCTTCCAATCCAGCTCGCTGCTATGGCCTGGGAAAGCAGTAGAAGATGACCCAAGTGTTTGGGTGCCTACACTTGTGTGGGAGACCTGGAGGAAGCTCCTGACTCCTGGCTTAGGATTGGCCCAGCCTGGGTTATTGTGGCCATTTAGGGAGTGAACCAGCATATGGAAGACCTCTCTGTCTCTTTTACTGTACCTCTCAAATAAATAAATAAAGTCTTTTAAAAAATGAAAAAAAACATCACATTACAGAACTTCTTCTATTATTTATAAAATCTGTATTCTTCCCCATTTTCATTTGACCCTATTTTTATTTACTCATCCTGCCCTGCTGAATTGGAAGTTCATTGTACCACATTCTGTGGGTGGGTTTGTCCTTGAATGGAGCTTGGGCTCTTCAGTTTTGGGAGCTCAAGGACCAGGCTGCTCTGAAGGCAGACCTCTTGCAATGAACTGCTCCTCAAGGGTGTGAAATCCCTCCCAGTTTCAGCTTTGCTTCTCAGTTCAGTCCTCGGAGCAGTGCAGGGAGAATCTGTGATTTACTTTGAAGCTTTCAGGTGCCTCAGATGCCCTGTTGATTCCCCATGCTTTCTCCTGTGAAGGTTCTGATATACAAGTAGTTATCTGTCAGTGTTTCCTTCTGACTTGCTCATCTTTTGGGTTTTACAACTATATTTTGTCATTTAGATTTTTGTATATACTTGCCATGAATCTAGGATTTTACAGTCATAATTGCTCTATTTTCATATGGGGATTTGAAGAGATTTAAAAATGCAGTTTTGCCACCTTCTCAAATATTTAAAAATAATTTGAATTTCTTTTAAAAGATTTGTTTATTTATTTGAAAGGCAGAGTTACAGAGAGGAAGAGGCAGAGAGAGAGAGAGAGAGAGTAAGAGAGAGAGAGAGAGGTCTTCCATCCACTGGTTCCTTCCCCAGGTGGCTGCAAAGGCTGGAGCAATGCCGATTTGAAGCCAGGAGCCAGGAGCTTCCTCCAGGTATCCCACGTTGGTGCAGGGTTCCAAGGACTTGGGCCATTTTCCACTGCTTTCCCAGGCCACAGCAGAGAGCCGGATCAGAAATGGAGCATCCAGGACTTGAACCGGTGGCCAGATGGGATGTTGGTGCTGCAGACTAGGGCTTTAACCAGCTGTGCCATAGCACTGGCCCCAATAATTTGAATTTTGAACCATGTAAATTTACTACCTACTAAGCAAAGAATTTATGTTAAACAACTAGTAAACAAATAAAGGAGCCCTTCATTTTTGAATATGCCTACTTTCTATCATATTGTCTTATTTTATTTTCTTCTTGGTGTATCAGTGCCTAAAATCGCTTTTTTTATTTTGTCATCTTTATTCCTATTGTATTAATTTCATTATTGTTGGAAGCTTTCCTCTGAAGACATTTACTTAATTACACATGAAATATAGCACTTTTTAGTGGATAAACCTGACAAACACTACATTAACCAAGTAACCAAGTATGGGAACAAATAGATATATCATCTAGATCCAGAAGTATTTGCATTGAGGATATTGTATCACTTAAGTATCATTCTTACCAAGATATCATGAAGCTCATCATAAGGAAGCATCAAACCTACCCAAATTGAGGGACAGTCAACAAACTAAATGGCCAGAACTCTGCAAAACAAAGCACAGTAAGAAAAGATTGAGAAATTCTTCTGGATTATAAGAAACTAAAGATACTGTATCAGCTAATGCAATGGGTGCTGCTCAGGTAAATCAAGAAAGAAGGTAGTTTTATTTTGCTATAATGAATATCAGTGAAATAATTGGAGAAATCTGAGATGGTCCATAGATTATATTAACATACTCTTATTATTATAATTATTTTATTCTTAGTATTATACTGTGGTTATGTAAGACAAGGTCCATAATTTTTGAAAACAGATAGTGAAGTATTGAAGAATCAATGGGTACTATGACCGTAACTTATAGACAACACTTGTTTTTCAAAGATTTTCAAATTGTGTTCCACAAATTGGCTGAGAACACAAAACTGATAAATATGAGCCATTGCTTCCAGGGGAAAAAGAAGGCTGGAGTCTCATGAGTTTTCCATCACGTACTTTCATTAACTGCTTATCTTACTCAATGTGTTATGTGTTTTTTTTTCTTTTATTCAAATACTTGATGCTTGAAAACAGACAGAAACTAACTTCTCCACACTTTTGAAGCCTGGGAAGCTCCAGGTCAAAGCACCAGAAGTTTCAGCTTCATGTGAGTGTAACTGTCTACCTTCACGTCGGCTCCTTGCGGTTCCGTCCTCCAGAGCGGGTGGACTGCCGTGTCCTCACAAGGCAGAACAGAAGTGCAAAGGGAAAAGAGGAGGCTGGACAGTTCTCTTCATGCCTTTTAGAGGACACTATTGTAAGATACTTTTTTTTTTTTTTAAAGAACACATCTCTTTATTTCTGCTTGAGGTACAAATGCTCATTTGGATGACGATAACTGAGCCAAGTAGCAGTGACAACGGCTAACTCTTCCATTTGTTCCAGTAAACTCCAAAGGAGGAAGAACAGGATCTGAGCTGCTCCGTGCAGCTGACTAACATAACACCCACCTCCAGCAACGGCAAGTACGGAGCACTCACTCTGTGCACGTGGTTGAGTCTGATGTCTCCGTATTTTCTCTTGAATTGCACATCTGGTCAGAGTTAGGAGTGAGATCAGGGTGCTGGCCCATTTTTGTTGCACTGCTCCTCAGATTTGGCCTTGTTGCCTTGGAGGAAGAACAGGTTCACGTCTGGTTGCTGGTGGGGGCCAGGCTCTTGGCAGCTTGCTGGGCTCACCAGTACTTATATCTTTTGGTCTTGGGCTTCTCAAAGTTCACCACAGACATAGGCACTCTCACAGTGTCAAGCCCATTTACCGTCACCTCACACCAGTACTCGCCCCACCGTGTGATAGGTTCTTCGGGTAACTTTACTGCATGTGGGGCGACCACAACACCAAGGTTCTTCAGGAAGTGGCGGGCAACTATTTCCGAGTTCAGCTCCCATTTGACGTTGTTCTTCATCCCCACCTCCAGGTGACAGCTCCTCAGGAACTTCACTGTCGCCTCACCTGCCTTGGTCTGGATCTTCTCTAATTTTCCTTCCTGTCTTAGCAATTTCTCCTCTTCAGTTTCTTGTTTTCAGGAGAGGCATACACAGCCAGTCCCGGGGGAGGAGTCGGTTGAGGCCCACAGATTTCTTCACGGAGATCAGATCGCCCGGGACTCCAAGGTCCTCCACAGACTGCGTGAGGATGAGCTCCAGGTCCTCCTTAGGCCGGTGCTTCGTGTCCTCCACCAGCTTGTAGACACGATGCCGCCGATGTAGGCGCGGCTTCCGGCCTTCTTCGCCGGCCAGCTGCACCTTCCACCAAAGCTCCACGATGACCGTGCCCCGACTGTGAGAAAGGCTGAAGTCGCGCTTCGGGCCGGAAGGGGCCCTCTCAAGCGGCGGCTGGAGCAGCTCCTGCACGCCTCTCGCCAGCAGCCGCTCGCCGCCTGCCCTCAGCAGAGCCCTGCTGGGGCCCGCGACCTTGGCCGCTGCCATGCTCCCTGGCACCGCGAGCCGGAAGATACTTCTGAGGGTAGAAAGCATGGCTTAATGGCACCCTCAAAGGCTCCATCTTTATTTATTTTTTTAAGATTTATTTGAAAGAGTGTGGTGGAAAGAGAAGGGAGGGGGAGGGGGAGGGGGAGGGGGAGGGGGAGAGGGAGAGGGAGAGGGCCCAAGCATCCGGGCCACCCTCAGCTGCCTTCCAAGGCATATCAACAGGGAGCTGGATCAGAAGCGGAGTAGCAGAAGCTTTATCTGCTATGCCACAGCACGAGCCCCAGCCTCATAACTTAATACTACATCAATGAAAATTCCACATGAATTTTCAAAACATAGAACTCACCAATATATAATCTTGTTTGTGTGGGTTTATGTTTAAAGACATCTTATTTGATACAAATGTACATTTGACTCACTAACATTGAACTGAAAGCCAACAACGCATTATGTATGGAATATTTCTTATAAAATAAAAATGATAGTCGTGTACATAGGGATCAATGGTCTCTGTCCATGAGGGTATGTGTAGACAAAGACTGGTTTAGTATTATGGTTTCCACCATTTATTATATAGAGAGAACTAAAAGGTGTTTAATTTATACTTCCTCCTGTCATATCCAACAACAAAATATAATTGGCATGGTTATAAGCTATACTAACTGTGTAATAGTAACTGTATCAATTAATGTTATGACCTGCCCTGCCTTAAAATTACAACATGTTCAACTATTTAATAAATGTTTGAAGTAGTCAACTGACCTTTGTTTGATCTCAGATATAACTTGTGATAGCCCCAGGTTTAAGAGGAACTTGGCCCAGGATTTTACTTATTCAATGCATGTCATTTAGTCTTCTGCCCGCCTAAGCATCTTATTTTAGAATCAACCATATGGAATTTGGATGCCAAGGCTTATCTTAATTCTGAGCTATCTGATAGTATGGTAATTACTACAAAGCCATCAAGTACCACCAAACAATTTGCATCTCCTTAGGGAGTAATTTTCCTACAGGACAAATAGCAGTTGTCAAAGGACTAAGAATGATTTTGTTTACAAGCACAGATTTAGAAACCACTAAATAAGTATGAACATGCACTGGAGATGTAACTTTCACTCTTAAGTATCTGACTTTAAATCATTAAGCTTTAAATGCTTGTAACGAAAAAACAAAAAAGAAAGCATTTCAACTCTCCTGATGAGTAGAGACGGGCCTCTCTGGTCTATCTTGACCCGTTAATGGATATGTATGTCAAAAGCACTTACTTGTTCTCACCATGATCTTGGTGATAAAAATACCCAGGACAGGAAAGGAACATCTTTTCCTTTTACCTTTAAATTAATTCATTTTTGTTCAAATCAACTCCATAACCATGAATCAATCACACTATGCACAAAGCTTGGGAAGTATATCTCTTGGGATCAGAATATTTCCACCCCCGTCTTAGTACAGCAAGACAACAGAGTGCCAATAAGCTCTTCTTTGGATTGAGTGCTCTTTGGCACATAAGATTCCATAGATTAAAATAATACAATTTATTATTAGAAAACCACAATTGATTGCACCACAAACAGTGATACTGTTGTTCCATTTGGCACTGTAGAAATGATCATTTGTATTATAAACATGGTGAATTTGTCCATTAATAAATTGCCTTACTAGAAATATCATGAAAGATTTACCTTATCAGAATCCGTTATGTTGCTGGAACTGCACTTTCATTATAATTCCCTACTCAAGAGTTGCCTTCAAAAGTAAAACAAATTGGTCTTTTAATTATGCATGGGTATATTGCACTTTAATGTCTCAAATTTTAGACAGAATAATGTTCATCACATTATTAAATAAAATTTTGAAAGTCCAACTAGGTAACTCCTAGTCATTTACTTTTTCATTCAGTCATGATTTTTTGACTTATAGCATTAATTAAAATACCCTCATGCTGAGAGAGTTTTGCTTCCTTTGGTGATTTTTTTCTTGAACTGGTATACTTTGACAGACTGGGGCTATACTGCAAGAGTTGTGGAAGTAGAGTTGAATTGGGTATGTTCATATTTATCTGGATTACATAAGGGGTGTCAACAAGATTGTTATCAGAGTCAAAGACTTGCCTCACCAGTAGGGTAGTATAATATAGTTAGCTGACTTAGCTGTGCCTTTTTTTTTTTTTTAGTATAAAGCTGTACTTATTGAAGTCAGAGAGCATGCTTTATGTCTCCAAAAGTAGTAATTAATGGTCATGTAGAATAAGCATTTGTCTATATAGCATCCAATAGAGATATGTTTTTTATCCAGATAAATGAGGGAATAAATGAATTGGTGTACTACATATTTAGCTTCCAAACTAAAATTTACCAAAATAATCATCTTTATTTATCTTATTAACACATTATAGATAATATTTGTAATAAGATTAAGACTGGACTTTAAATTGACTAAACTTTAGCAAGTTGGTGAGTTTACCTGGTCTCCATAATGATTGCTATGGCTATAAATTGCAATAGAATCTCTATCAACTGTGCAAATGTCCCCCCAAAGAATGAATATGTCATGATACTACCCATTCATTCACCATATAAACATAGAGCTACAATGAAGGCCAATGTTTTTCTCACTATGTCTCATCAACTAATCTGTCATTAAGGAAACATAAATCTCTTTCTCCATTAAGAGATTAAGTCTCTGTAGTGTTCTGATTCAGGAGATTGTATGTATCTATTACTTGAGCAGCCTTTTTTTCCAGATATTTATTATAGCACGTTTTAATCATTCACCTTCAAATCATCGCAGCAGTCCAGGATCCTGCTACCAAAATTGCTATTCTGCTGGATAATTGCTTTATAGTTACAAACTCCTAAAACAGTTTTAATTATCTGGAAAAAACACCTGAAAGATCAAAACTACACAGGAGTGAGTGGGCTGATTTTAATATTCACATTTTTGAAGCCTGATTTTTTTTTTTTTTGACAGGCAAAGTGGACAGTGTGAGAGAGAGAGAGACAGAGAGAAAGGTCTTCCTTTGCCGTTGGTTCACCCTCCAATGGCCGCCGCGGCTGGCACGCTGTGACCCGCGCACCGCGCTGATCCGATGGCAGGAGCCAGGTACTTATCCTGGTTTCCCATGGGGTGCAGGGCCCAAGCACTTGGGCCATCCTCCACTGCACTCCCTGGCCACAGCAGAGAGCTGGCCTGGAAGAGGGGCAATCGGGACAGAATCCAGCGCCCTGACCGGGACTAGAACCCGGTGTGCTGGCACCGCAAGGCAGAGGATTAGCCTAGTGAGCCGCGTCGCCGGCGAAGCCTGATTTTAAAATAGTACTGTTTATATATTTTGCAAGCAAAAACAGTCTCTCGAATGTATATTTTTGAGGCTTTCACAGAATATAAGGATTTTTAAATGAAAATAGAGAGGCAGTTTGTTAAGTACCTCTCTGGGAAACCAGCAGAGAAAACTTAACAGGTCAGCATAAGGCAACACAGATAACGAAGGACTGGAAAAAGACACTTCCCACTAAAACTCTGCTCTCTGCTACTGAACAAGTCATTTTTTTTTTTTTTTAGATTTATTTATTTGCACAGAGAGAGGAGAGAAACTTTCCATCCATTGGTTCACTCCCAAAATGACCAAAATCACTGGGGCAGGGCTAGGCCAAAGCCAAGGGTCGGAAGCTTTTTCTGGGTCTCCCACCTGGTTGTAGGGCCCTAGTCACTTGGGCCATGTTCCATTGTTCCCCGGGGACCTTATGTGGATTGGAAGTACAGCAGCCAGATCTCAAACATGTGCCCATTGAGGTGCTGGCAAAGCAAACCACAAAGCCACTGTGCCAGACCCAAGCCACATTTATTTTACAGTCTTGAGTCAGAGCATCCTTAATCTGAAATCTGAACCAGAAGTGCTCTCAAATCCAAAACTTTCTGAGTGCCAACATAGTGTTATAAGAGGAAAATCCACATCTGATCTCATGTAACGAATTTCAGTCCAAACAACAGCACGCTCAAAATACTGGATGAGATTATCTGCAGGCTATAGGTATAAGGTTTATGTGAAAAGTCAATTTTTTAAAGATTTTTTTAATTTATCTTAGAGGTAGTTACAGACATTGAGAGGGAGCAACAGAGAGGAAGGTCCTCCGTTCTCTGGTTCACTCCCCACAAGGCCAGGAAGACCCCTGTTCCAGGACTGGTCTGCATGTGGTGTGCAGCTGCAGAACAGCACACACATACCCACAGATGTGTGATGGGGTCCTGCGGGGAGCAGCCCTTACTTCAAGGTGAATCCAAGAGGGAAACAGAGCAATTTTCTTTCTGCTGAAGCTTTGGAGTTAAATCTCCAGATGGCAAAGGAAGAAATCAGGCGGATGAATAACAACAATAAATGTTTATGGCTGTACTAATAAGGCTGCATTCTGTCGGAGAGCACTTTATGTGCCAGAGAGTGGGACTAAGATTCTAGGAATTTAAAAGCAGAAAAAGGCTCTTTCTCACTAATATTGGAAGGTGAATCTGTTCATCCTACATTTTGAACAAAGACATAACTCACAGCTGCTGTTGTGTTGTCTACTATTAATTATTCATATTATCCTTCTTCTGCTTCTTATTTTATACATACAAACTGTACAAGTGTATAGGGTACCATGCGGTATTTTGATAGATGTATCTATTGTGTAAATTTCTAATCAGGGTATCAGATCCTTTCTTAGTGCCATATTTTGATAAAAAGAGTGAGATTCCAAGAATAGTTGGCTTGGAATTCAGGAAAAAAAAAGCATGAAGACTGGTCTACGAGAGTTTGGTGGTCAATGGAGATTCTTTTAAAACTTTGAAGTTTCAGTAAACGTAAAGTTTAAAAAATAAAATATTGAATTTTCCATGCAGCATAATTATCTTTCCAGTGTTTAACTAAGATATAGTTGAGACAGATTTCCTAACTGGAATAACCATCTAGAGAGACTAGCAAATAACATATCCAGCAAAAAGAAATTACTAGCTTATGCATAGCCCTGAGACAACTAATATGAAATATCCATAACTTAAGAAAAATTTGTGGGGCGGACATGGGGGCAGCTGCTTCTTGTAATGCTGGCATCCTATATCTGAATGCCTGTTAAGAGTTCCAGCTGTGGCAGGCGCCGCGGCTCACTAGGCTAATCCTCCACCTGCAGCGCTGGCACACCGGGTTCTAGTCCCGGTCGGGGTGCTGGATTCTGTCCCGGCTGCCCCTCTTCCAGTCCAGCTCTCTGCTGTGGCCTGGGTGTGCAGTGGAGGATGGCCCAGGTCCTTGGGCCCTGCACCCACATGGGAGACCAGGGGAAGCACCTGGCTCCTGGCTTCTGATCAGCGTGGGGCGCCAGAACCAAGGAAGACCTTTTTCTCTGTCTCTCTCTCACTGTCCATTCTGCCTGTCCAAAAAAAAAAAAAAAAAAGAGTTCCAGCTGCTCCGCTTCAGATCTAGTTCCCTCCTAATGCACCCAGGAAGGCAGCAGAAGATAGTCTAAATACTTGAGCTACTGCCACCCACAAGAGAGACCAGGATGGAACTCCAGGCTCCTGGCTTTGTCCTGGACCAGCCCTGGCATTTATGTTCATTTCAGGAGTGAACCAGCAGATGGAAGACAAATCTCTCTCTCTCTCTTCCTCTCTCTCTTCCTCTCTCCCTCTCTCTCTCCCTCTCTCCCTCTCTCCTTTTCTCTCTGTCACTCAGCCATTAAAATAAATAAATATTCTTTAAAGAGAAAAAAATTGTGTTAGAAAACATGAATTAAAAATATCAGATACCCTCTCAAATGCACAGCTGAGGTAAACAAAAATTAGGGTTCCCTGGATGCAGAAGAAACAAAAGAAAACTAAACTAAAACATGGAGAGTTGGTAGGTACTGAAGTCCCACATCACCAGGAGTTGATTATAGACTTGGAAAAACAGCAAGTTTGTTTACTGTATTGTCACACATAAGATAAAATTTTCAGACTGCTTTTGGTGGGAATTAAAGGCCATGTGAATCTAAAACTTTTGATAGTTTCATCTTCAGAAAAAGGGTGGACAAGATAAAAATTAATCTGCCAGCACAGTATGTAACAAGTTTATCAGATTTGGCCTGAGTTAGGTGAGAAAACATTGCACAGAGAGTTTGCAACCACCAACATAGCCTCAAAGATAGTCTTACTTCTTAAGTAGTCTAAGAAGCCCTGGCTGAAAGCATAAGGAGTGTGTATATGCATACCCAAGTTCATAGCAGCACTATTTATAATTGTCAAGAGGTGGAAGAACTCAATTATCTGTGGGTGATAGATAAAGAAAATGTGGTATATGAATACAGTGAAATATAATGCAGCTTTATATAGGAACAGAACTGTGACACTTACTCCAGTGTGAATGAATCTTGAGGATATGATGCTAAGTGAAATAAGTCACTCAAAAAGACAAATATTCCATGACTCCACTTGTTGTTACCAGGCAGGGGTGTGGGACACTAAATAAAACAAAAATTTATAGTTAAATGTCATCGTTGAAATTCAAAATTTAATGGAGTAATGCTCAGCATCTGGGAAAATACAAATCTAAACCACAAAGAGCTATCTCATTCTATTCAGAAAGATCGACTATTGTCACAAACACAAAAGACAACACTTGTGGAGAAAGGGAACCCTTTCACCCTGTTGGTGGGAATGAAATCTAGTACAGGCATTGTAAGAAGCAGTACAGAAGCTCCTCAAGAAGCTAAAAATAAAACTGTTATGTGTTGTAGTAATTCCACTTCTAGGTATACATCCGTGGTAAATGAAATCCATCTATGGAAGACACATCTGCATTCTCAGGTTTATTTCAGCACTATTCACAATAGCCAACCAATAGAAACAACCTAGTGTCTATTGACCTATGAATGGATAAAGAAAAAGTAGTACATCTACAAAATGTAATATCGTTCAGTCATGTTGCTATTTGCGGCAACATGCAATGAACCGGCGGTTATTATGTTACGTGAACTAATTCAGATACAGAAAGGCAAATGTCTACACATGATCTCACCTATGTGTAGAATTTGAATGAATAGATGACTTCACAGGAGTTAGAGATATTAGTGTGGTTACCAGAGTTTGGGGATGGAAGTAGGGGGAAATGGATTAGGGAACGCTGATTGGTGCCTACTAGGTTATAGCTCGATAGGAGTAAGAAGTTCTAGGGCCTAAAGCATGGTAAGGTAAAGACAGCTAATATTAATTTCTGAGTATTTATCCATAATTAAAAAAAAACCTAGAAGATGTTTTCAGTATAAAAAAATGTTAAATGCTCAAGAGGATATATTTACCAAATGAATAGTACACAATGTATAAATGCAACAAAACATCACATAGCACCCCATGAATATATGTGCTTTTAATATATCTGTTAAATGTCCTTAATTTCTTTTTTAAAGAAGGTCAGGAATCTTCCTTCTTCAGCAAACTCCATATTTCAGTTAAAAAAATACTAGCACTTTCTCAATACAAACCTCATTTGTCTTCAGATAGATGAAATTCATCAAACAAAAACATTAAAAACTTTTCCCAAATCACAGAAAATCGTATTTAGATAAACAGAAGAGAAAATGTATTGCAGACTGAGAATGGCAGTTTTTATTCACACAGATAAAATCTGAAAAGAATTTGCTCACTTCATTTGATCTATTTTAGAACGAACACATGGGTTGAGATAGCTCATAATATACTAGTACTGTTAACTTAGCTAATATCATATTAATATTGTTAATTATATTTATCCATTGGGCTTTTTATTGCTAGAAATTATGAACCTAATGAATCTCATCTCTATAACTATATGGTTTAAACTGAATTCTTCTCAACAGTTATTTATATTGGATAGGCAAGGTGAGGTTAAGTAAATATCCAATTCTATATCTCCAGGGAATTTATCATATCCTCTTTTGGTATGCCATGAACTTGGCGCTATTGCTAATCATGTCCTTTTGCATTTCTGTCATTTTTTTCATGTTCTAGTTTAGAATAAAATTTCCTCCTCAGCATTTAGGTTAAAAATAACTAACTAAATAAAGTTAAAGAACATTGAAAAATAAATAATATTCAATTTATAACTAAACTAAAATGTTAATCTGAATAAATTAAAAAAAAGAAACCTAGAGACACAAAATAAGAGAGATAATTAAAAGACAAGGATTGTAGGATAAAGACAAATCTAAACCCTATTATGTTTAGAAAGTGAAATTTGAGAAAAGTGGGAAGAGGTAAGAGTTGGTAAAAGCAACGAATACAGAGACTCAAAAACAGACACAGTTCACAACTCTACCCACCATAGTACATTGCAGAGCACTGAGGGCGGTATAGTTTTCCAAGTGGCCTTAGACCAGCCGGGATTTTCCTTCATTCTTGCTTGTAGTTCTCAAGAACTATACAGTATGCTAGGAATGCAACCCCTGAGACAAGGGAGGGGCTGGCCAGAGCACCCTGAGCACTCTCCCAGTCCCTCCTGGAGCAGGAAGTCCTTCAGTACCTTAGTCCAGTGAGGTATGTGACAGCAGCTATGTAACCAGGAGAGGGAGGACTTTCGGATTCCCTGATCTGTGGTACAAGCGAGATCTGTACAGTCAGGTCTCTACCCACCCCAGGCAGCTCTCTGAGTCTTCAGGAATGGCTCGCAGTGAATCCTAAGGTATTTCCCTTGCTGCCTACCTGCAAGTAATAAATCTACTTCATGTAATTTGTTGCATTTGAGTATGTTCTGCCTCAATGAACTCAAGGCTAACTCAATGAACTCTCTGGCTAACTAGTAGCCAGAGAGCCTGCTTCACCACAGGATGAGCCTAAAAGTGTCAGACTGAGCAAAATAACACAAAGAATATTTTATGTGAACAGGAGAATTTCACAAGTAACAGTAAAATCTTTTATTTGGTCAAAGAAATTATCAAGCTATAATTATATTCCAAGATAAATCATCAACTAAGATAACAATATAAGACATTTTACAATAAATATAAACTGAGATCTCTCACTGACAATAAGTAGCTTACTATACATACTCTGATATACTTGAAGAAGGAAATTGAAGCCAGGAAATCTGAGACACAAGAAAAAATGGAATGGAATTAGCAGTAAACCTACTTCCTCTATCAAGCCTGGGCCCTCCTCTTCACCTCACTCTAGTTACATTTTTATTTGATTTTTAATGTAATTCCATGCTGATCACTTAACATATCCATGCCATTTGATTTTACCCTTTAAAATTTGTTGGGATATGGTTATAAACCTAGGCACACTGTTGGTTTTGTATATTGTTCTGTATGCAATTTAAAAGTTCATATATTCTTTGCATGTTCAGACCAAGCTATCTATATGTAAATAAGATGAATCTTGTTAATTGTGTTTTTTTTTTTCAAATTTCTGTATCCATCAAAAATTTTGCCTTTATATTCTATGAGGTACTGAGAGAAGTACTTTTATAACACTGACTCTGGACTTCTGCTTCAAGGTGGATGCATCAGGTCAATGTCAAATAAATGCTCCTTTTGCAACCACTAAACATTACTGGGTCCATTGCAAAGATATACAAGAGCATTAGAATCAAAATAAGTAGGTGGTATAAAACTCCAAGGATGGAGAATTCATTCTGAAGCTAGATAGCAATTTCTGGTTGTGTTCTTCCAGGAGGGCACTTAGCCATTCTGAGTATCTGCTGAGAATCAGAATTGCAATATGCACAGAGATCATGCTGGAGAAGAGAAATTCTGAAAGCTTTTCAGACCAAGCAAGTCTTGCTGGACAAATCGGATAACAGGGAAGCCCCGATCACAATGCCTCTGTTCTTTCAAGGCTAGGCATAGCAGAGGTTGAGAGAACTATGTTAGAAAGGCAAAAATAAAATCTGCCTCAATTTTGCAGCGTTAAGCAGACAAACGTTCCTCTAAAGCAAGGGTGCCTGCAAGATATATGATTGGTGTGTTCTGTAGACATTTTCAACTTATATAAATCCAGGGCCAGATGGACTGAGTTGAAAACCTTCAAAGGATAAAATCTTCATGGTGTAAGAGATAAATACCATCAGGCTGTTAATCAAAAGCTTGGGAGGCGCATGCCCGTGGAGGGCACAAGCTCGGAAAGGCCCGGTGACATTTCCTGTAGTCTCAGGGTGCGGGAAACCTGTTCCCAAGATGATATTTTCCAGGTGTTAAACCCAGAACAATAGAACTTCAAAGAGTTAATTTAAAAATTTTTAAGATTGAGGGGCCGGTGCTGTGGCATAGCGGATTAAGCCACCGCCTGCAGTGCTGGCATCCCATCTGGGTACCAGTTCGAGACCTGGATGCTCCACTTCCAGTCCAGCTCTCTGCTATGGCCTGGGAAGGCAGTGGAGGATGGCCCAAGTCCTTGGGCCCCTGTAACCACGAGGGAGACTAGGAAGAAGCACCTGGCTCTTGGCTTTGGATGGGCACAGCTCTGGTCGTTGCAGCCAACCAGGGAGTGAACCAATGGATGGAAGACCTCTCTCTGCCTCTCCTTCTCTCTCTGAGTAACTCTGACTTTCAACTAAATAAATAGATCTTTAAAAAAAACATTTCTAATATTGAAATGGCCAGTTTGGGATATGGTTGTCATTTTTAGCCCTTGTTTATACTCCTGAGGAACTGTGGTCTTGCTACTTTTTGCTTATTGAATATTATGATTACTGACAAACTTAGCCTGTGAATACAGAGTGGGTTAGAGTCATGGCTTTGCAAAAACTGCTGAAGGGAGGGAGGGAGGCAGGGGCATTGAAGGGAAGCAGGGGAGTAAGGGAAGTGTGGCTGTCTTCTTAGAACTGTATCTATGGAACCCATAAAATCTGTTCTCTTTATAGTCATACTTTTTCTAATTGAACTTTCAATTTTGTGATAATAGAGAACCAGCAAGTTCATGAAGGAGCAAGCAAAAACTGGGGAAAGAAGAATTTCCAATGAACAAGGAAAATTTAGAGAAAGCCTGAGTTTTTCTCAGCAATGACTCCAATTTCTTGCTCATCAAATAAGAGATTAGTTCCTCACATAATCTGCCTAACAGAATTAAGAATAAGAATAATTATACATGAAAAAGATTATCTGCGGCTTCTACAATATTTTATACCCAACAGGAACATACAGAAAAAAAAGAGACAGAAATAATGAAAGACCACTATCAGTAAGAAAATTTTGAAATTCAGAAACAAAATGTGTTAAAAATATATTCAGTTAAGAACTTTGAGTTTTTATTTTTTCACCAGCTGACATGCATAATAAAAAATCAGGAAGAAAATTCTTCATGCTGAAGGAAAATGACCCTAAATAGAAGTGTGGAATTAAATGAAGACTGAAAGAAGTGGGGATATATAGAAAGGAATATTAAACACTTCCTCCCATCTGTAACTTTGACTTTCAAATAAATAAATATTTTCTGAAAAAGAGGAAGGCAAGCAATGATAAAATATTCTGTAGTAGTTTTATGGGAGAAAGTAAACTTTTAGAGTAAAATATTACTGAAAATAACAAAAGGATAATGTTGATAGGAAGATATAACTATTGTAAATTCTTATGATCTTATTAACAAAAGCAAAATAATGCCAAGCAAAACTTGATACAACTTAAAGGAGAAATGAAATATTTAATCTATATTAATGATAGAACAAGGAAATGAATATTAGCTAAGATGAGAAATTTGAAAAATAGACAGAAAATTTTTAAAAATTTTGCTTCTGATAGACTGTCACAAACAATGACTGTAGAGTGCACATTCATTTTGAGTCCACATGTAACATTCACAAAATAAACCCTACACTGAGCTATAAAGAAAATCTTGATCCATTTTCCTGGACTGTAATCCCCCTTTTTTTTTTTTTTTTTTTTTTTTTTTTTGACAGGCAGAGTGGATAGTGAGAGAGAAAGACAGAGAGAAAGGTCTTCCTTTGCCATTGGTTCACCCTCCAATGGCTGCCACGGCTGGCGTTCTGCGGCTGGCACACCGCGCTGATCTGAAGCCAGGAGCCAGGTGCTTCTCCTGGTCTCCCATGGGATGCAGGGCCCAAGCACTTGGGCCATCCGCCACTGCCTTCCTGGGCCACAGCAGACAGCTGGCCTGGAAAAGGAGCAACTGGGAAATAATCCGGTGCCCGACCTGGACTAGAACCCGCTGTGCTGGTGCCGCTAGGTGGAAGATTAGCCTATTGAGCCGTGACGCCGGCCCTGAACTGTAATCCTTGAATGTTCAGCTTTGTTCTATGTTCAGAAAACAAACAAGGGACTATTAAGAAAAAGATAATTAGAAAAATTCAATATTAGAAAGAAAATTGAGTCTTTCTTTTTAAGATTTCATCTCAAAATATTATAAAAAGAAAATGCAATGCAGTCAAACAAAGTATAAGAGAAACCAGGAAAACTAAACGCAGAATTTGCTAAAACAGAAAGCAGACCAAAGAAAATGTTAGAAGTTTGTATTTTGAAAACAGATGTGCACTGTGGCAAAAAAAAAAAAAAATGACTTACACTAAAGATCTCTGTGAGTGAGATACTGGTGAAAGGAAGGGGCCATCAAAGAAGGAGGTACCTTTCTCTGAAGAGAGGAGAGAACTTCCACTCCGATTATGGCTCTGTCTAAATGATGTCAGACTTTGTGGACTCAAAAGCATTCCATAACCTTGACAGCTCATGACAAGAGCCTCAGGTGATCGCTGACATCATAAATAAGAGTGTTTTTTTTAAACTTTTATTTGGTAAATATAAATTTCCAAAGTACAGTTTATGGATTACAATGGCTTTTCCCCACCATAACTTCCCTCCCACCGCACCCCTCCCATCTTCTGCTTCCTCTCCCATTCCATTCACATCAAGATTCATTTTCAATTCTCTTTATATACAGAAGATCGATTTAGTATATATTAAGTAAAGATTTCATCAGTTTGCACCCACACAGAACATAAAGTGTAAAATACTGTTTCAGTACTAGTTATAGCAGTAATTATTATTGAACAACACATTAATGACAGAAATTCTACATGAGGAGTAAGTACACAGTGACTCCTGTTGTTGACTTAACAAATTGACACTCTTGTTTATGGTGTCAGTAATCTCCCTAGGCCCTAGTCATGAGTTGCCAAGGCTATGGGAGCCTCTTGAGTTCGCCGACTTCGACCTTATTCAGACAAGGTCATAGTCAAAGTGGAAGTTCTCTCCTCCCTTCAGAGAAAGGTACCTCCTTCTTTGATGGCCCTGTTCTTTCTCTGGGATCTCACCCGCAGAGATCTTTCATTTAGGGTTGTTGTTTTTTGTTTTTTTTTTTTTTTTTTTTTTTTTGCCAGAGAGTCTTGGCTTTCCATGCCTAAAATACTCTCATGGGCTCTTCAGCCACATCCGAATGCCTTAAGGGCTGATTCTGAAGCCAGAGTGATGTTTAGGACATCTGCCATTCTATGAATCTGCTGTGTATCCCACTTCCCATGTTGGATCGTTCTCTCCTTTTTAATTCTATCAGCTAGTATTAGCAGACACTAGTCTTGTTTGTGTGATCCCTTTGACTCTTAGACCTATCAGTGTGATCAATTGTGAACTGAAATTGATCACTTGTACTAGTGAGATGGCATTGGTGCATGCAATCTTGATGGGATTGAATTGGAATCCCCTGGCACAGTTCTAACTCCACCATTTGGGGCAAGTCCGATTGAGCATGCCCCAAATTGTACATCTCCTTCCTCTCTTATTCCCACTCTTATATTTAACAGGGATCACTTTTCAGTTAAATTTAAACACCTAAGAATAATTGTGTGTTAATTACAGAATTCAA